CCCCCCCAGCAGATCAATCTTCTTTTGGCTCTGTTCAGTCTCACACTCCCTGATAACAGAAGCTGAATAAATTCCTCCCCTGGAGCTCAGGTCACTGCCACCTTCATCTGGATAAGATAATCTTAGAATGCAGGACGGGGTTTCTGATAATCTTTTCATTCTCTGGGTTATATGAACAAAAGCAGTCTTTATTTTAATACCATGCTATAGCCTAAGAAATATATATATATATGTATTACACTAATATTTCTAAGTTTGTTAATAGCAGAAATAATAGAAACTATATTAATACAACAATGTTTTCTAACATTATACATATAGCATTCATTTTAATATTTGAGAAAAGCCAATAATATAATATGCACTTATAACAATTTTAAAATGCTAGAGGGAGGAGTGGGGAGGAAGGAGAGGAAAATAAATAGATCACATATGAAAAAATAGGTATGAGATCTTCATGTCTCTATATCGGGTCAAGGACTCCAGGTTAGAATAGTTTGTTCACTTGGTATTTTTCCAACCATAATCATGAACATACAGTCTAAAACTAGGTAAGAATCAGAGAAAATTTTTCCAATGGCCTGGTATATTCAGGTACATATTTCCATTTATCTTGATGTGAACTAGGTAAGTTCCTACCTGGCCAGAAATACTTAAACTGAAATCTACTATGTGTCTGATATTTGGGGCTTCTTGATATATGTAGGAAGCGGCAGGTCTTGAAGTGACATGGTTTGTGGCTTGCACAATTGAACTTCCAGTCTATTCTCTTTTACAAAACTTCTTTAGAATCCTGGACAAGTTCCTGAAAGGAAGAAGACAACAGGTGTTTAGACACATAGACATCCTCTGTGGAAAGTCAAGTAGCTCCTTTTTTGCATTTGGTACTTGGTATGAAATGCTGGATACAAGGCCTGTCTGAATTTCTTCCTCATCCTGCAGTAATGAGCTGCACAAGAGGTATTGCTTTGGATGAGTGAGCCTCTTCTCTCCAGTCTAGGAGCTGGCAAAACATGGGACATCTAGATTTTGTACCTTTGTGAAATGGGATCCTGTGGGAACTGACAATGGTCAAATAAGAGATTTTAGGCTTCAGTCATTAGCTTGAAACTGTGTGAAACCAAGTCACATAACTTTCTCACACTGGCCTGAGAAGTGTGGCCTGGGAAATCATAAGGAGAAATCAAACAGTCCTTAGAGAAGGAAAATAACCTTTGCAGGTGTTGTTTGTTGCCTTGTTGTTTTCTTGCAAGAGAAGGTCAAGGGGTGGTGTTCCCAATTGACCAGTGATGGTGATGTGTTGGTTTAATGACCAATGAGAGTTTTACCTTTCCAGACCTTCTCAGACCTGTCTATAAAAGAAGATCAGGAATAATAAAACTTGCTCTCTTGTGCAGCCCAGCCAGAGAGTCTGTGTCATACATTTGCTGTTCCTAATATAGTGCGACATGATCCCACACATATGCTGCTTCCCAGGGCTGGCTCTTCTAACTGGCTTGTAGGTAGATACAGGGAACAGATACAGAGAAGTGGTTGTTCTCTGCTCTGAGTTTCCCACTCAATGCACTAGACACTCTAATATACCTTTTGTATCCCTGAAGGTGGTTGTTCTCTTTCACTGGTGTTTCCAGGGTTAGGCTGGTATATGATGTTTTATGTCACATCTTTGAATTCCTCACCTGAATTTCTGATTTTATTTTCAAAGAAAGTTTTTTAGATATCTTCATTTTCTGACTGCATCTGGGCTTCACCCTAAGCAGATATGTTTTTAATTCTCAGATCTGTTAATCTGCCTTTGCTCTCTCATTTCATGTGAGGGAGAGACCATCTGGACAGAAGTCCTCTTTCCTGTTCTCTGTCTTTAGCTGTGAAATGGAAATGACAGTGCTTTCCTGACTCTTGAAGATAATATGGGGGAAAATGGACTGAAAACTTTCAGGTGCTGAGATATTTTCACAAAAGGACTGATATAACTTTCTGGAAGTGACAGAAAATGTGGTCTTTTACTGCAGCAGTTTTCTGCATGAGGGTGGTTTTTTTTTTAATCACCACAGGTTTTTCATTGTCAAAGCCCCATTTAAACATGACTGCAAGACATGTTTAAAGTCAAAAGAAAAAGGTATCGCAGCAGCGTGATTAAAGACAAATTAGCAGATGTTAGCTGTTTCTTCAGTGGATTTCCTTTTGTTTCTAAGTCAATGTCTGACAATCCTATTGATTCTTGCTTGTGGTTTCCTTGCCTTTTTTGATACTGATATTATTAAAGAGACTATTAAATTCATAAATATCCTCTATATTTCAATAGCCTAGTCAAATAAATCCTTTCCCCCCCCCCAATATAATTGTAAAAATATTTGGTTAGCTAATAAGCAGGGCTATCAGAGGATTTTTACTCAGTTTAGACCATAATGCCCAGATCTGAATACAATCAGAAAGTATTATTCTCCTGATGCTGTGGTATTTATTTCCAAGATCCTCTATGTGCATTTATTTCAAATATAATTTCTTTCAAATATAATTTTTAAGTAATTCTGAGTTTAATTCTGATGTAGTTGCTGGAGCTGTATGGGCACATGCATTTACCTTACTTCACTGGGATTCATTGCAGACACAACCATCTAACCGTACAAGACCAATTACAAGACCATACAGCTGTAAAACCTTTTAATTACATGTGTGAACACTGCCACAATCTCTGATTGAGGCCTTTACACAACCTTACCATGAAAATAATCTAACAGGGTGTATTTCTTTTCCACCAAGAACCTTTGTCTTACTTAAATAATGTCTCCTTACTCTGAAATGGATAGAAACACCTGTTCTTTTTTGCTTTCCAGAACAGGATAAAAAAGAACCCTTCCAAAAACAAAAGTTGGTCCTTGAGTGTCTTGACTGGGAAGTGGTAGATATACTCCCCTCAGAAGCTGTGATTTTGAGAGGAAGAACAGTCTTCTTATAGGAGATTAGGTCTCATGAGAGGACATGGAGAAAATTTTTTATGAGGACAGGGAACAGAGAAGGGACTTGGAAAAGAAACAACAGAAAATACTGTTAAGTGACTTATGTGCACAAAAAGAAATTCTCCTACTGAATCTCTTCTCAAGGGAAGGTCTATGGAATTTCTGTGGCAGGTTTGAGAGGTGCCTGGTAGGCATTATTTTAGTATAAACTCTGAGGCTGAGTGGCAGAACCAAAGCTTGTCTGAGTTTGGGTTACAGCTGGTCCATGGTAGCACAAAAAAATACAGTACCTTCTGAATTTTTCTACTTTGGTTATATTATAGACCTTAGAATTTCTGCCGTCTCAGGAAATGTTTTAGTCTGCTTTTGGGAGCCAAAAGACAATAAAATTATTGCAGAAACTCCCAAGCTACTGGTGAAGAACTTGGCCACTGTCAGTCATCATGCAGGAAGCCAAACCCTAGGACTGCCAGTGTTAGCAGAGCAGCTCAGTTTCTACCATGGCCAGGAAAAATGCTTTTAACTCTTTCAGAAAAGCCATTGCTGTGGTATTTGTTAGTCAGGGGTGGGATTGGGGAAACACTGGTAGAAGCTTTGTTTTTCAGTTTTGATACTTTTGGAAAACTTTGAGCTGTTTTAGAAATCAAACTTAGGAAGCTTAAAACCAAAACACAGATATTCAGATAATCTGTCTGCTGAACTGCAAGTCAGGGTTTTTTTAAATTTTGTTACACTCTCTGGTGTCGGTTCCCATTGTGGCTCCCAGTAGTTCCATTCACCCCTGGCTTCTTCACTGGTAAAGGCTATTAAGCTACTAACTGTAAAATTACATAAGCTTTTTGAAACAATTGTTACATATAAATAAACTGTTTATTTTAACCTTTGATTTTTCCCATGTATTTTCCTGTCTATGAAAAAATCATAATAATTTTCCATAAAGTATTTCCTGAGTAATTGATACAACTTTAATTGATACAACAATAGTTGCTAAACAGGAAGGTGACACAGAAGAATTGCATACTTCTTTATTTCACTTACCCTTTAGATATTTTACATTTCTTTTTTCTAACTGGCAGCTCTGTAAAGGTTTATATGAATTTTAGACATCTTTACTGGTTAAGACTGTGCCAGCATGAAATCATTCTCACAGATTGTGTTGACTCAGTCTGGGCAGTCAAGTCTGCCTGCAAGGCTACACATTCAGGGGGTGGGTGACAGAGTGCAAACCAGTGAGCAGCACAAAGCCTGAGAGGGACTGCTAGGCACCTGAGCAGAGATGCTATAACTTGACTTGTTCTTCAATCCTAAAAATGGTAACAATTGGAAAAAATATCAGAGGCTTTGAGAACACAAAAAAATCCCAACCTCTTCAAACTGGAATCAAAGAATGTGATAAAATCACCAAATGATTTGTGTTAGAAGGGACTCTAAAGATCATTTAGTTCCAAATCCACTGCCATGGTCAGGGACACTTTTCACCAAACCAGGCTGCTCAAAGTTCCAACCAACCTGGCTGTGAACAGGACTGTGGATAGAAAACCCACAGTTTTTCTGGGCATCCTGTTCCAGTGCCTCAGAACTCTCATAGAGAAGAACTTCTTCCTAATATTTAATCTAAATCTAGGAGTGTCTTCTTTAGGCACAGCTGTGTTTTCTCATGGTCACTGGGGCTCCCAGATGAGTGAAGGGTACCTAAGGGGACTTCACCACTAAGTCCGTTTTATGCATTCCCATTTCAAATAGTACATCACAGCACACTAGCTCCAGAAGCATGGAAATATGAGTGCTAGACACAGAAGGTGCTCTCCTAATCATACGTATCCCTTCCTCTGCAATCCCACCCAGCAGCATGATTAGGGGTCATTTTTGCCAGTGCCCATGCAGTCGGTGAGCAGGAGCCAAACTGCTGCCCAGGGTTCTCCTGCAGCTTCATGCTCAAAGATCTCACCAGCATTAGAAATTTGCATTCTGCTCCCAGACATCCTCCCTGTGAGTACATTTAGTTCTTTTACCAAGTATTAGACTGTCTCTTCTGAGAAAACCATAAGGCAGCCCTTGTTTGTCCATAGGGCTGGTGCAGCAGGGCTGAAGTATCAGTTCCTGCTCCTACACCCGCTAGGCTGCTCTCTACAGTCTGCTTTGGAAGGGCCAACCTGCTTTCTGCCTATGTTTTCCTTACATTATTGAAAAGCTGCCTGTTTTCAGGCAGTAGCTAACTATGGCCTACTGTAAACTCAGGAGGTAGCTCGGTTAGCTTTCACTCAGTGCCCAATATTTCTCTACCCCTTAGGTAGAGATGCAATGGCATTGCCCCAGTTGTGGAGAAGAGCCTTTCTTCTCTTCATATGTACTTTTGACATGTTCCAGAGGTTTGGGTATGGGTGATCTCACACATCATATTGTAAGGTTGTTCTTTACCTGTTGAATTCTCAAGACACTTGCATTAAGGATTTATATATTTCTTTTCTCATTCATCTCACCTCTCTTCTGTCCTGCCTCCCATCCAGGGAAGAAAAATCTCTGTCTTGTAACCTCCCTTTAGAGACAAAGGAAAATAAGAATAAAATAATTCTCAATCTGACATACAAAGTTTCTAATACAACTATAATTTCAGCCTTATCATATGATAAGCATGGTTCAAATAGCAGAGCCTGGAATTGGGTTGTGCTAGTGATGTTCACCAGACTCACATGTCTAGAAATAATACTGTGAGAAGGTTTCTAAGATTGGAGTGCACCAAGGCCAAGGATGGGTCTATCTGCCTGAGACAGGGCTGGTAACAAGTGCAGGGGGCAGACGTTCTTTGCAGAGGGCTGGAGAGATGTACAGCTGCTCTGCTGCCTGAGACACCAACATCTGCAAGGCTGGATTCATTTTTTAGCCTAGGGTTGAGGACACAGATGCAAGAAAAAAAAAATCTGTATAATGGCCTACTTGAAGAGATTTTCTCCTGAACCTGCCTTTCACCCTTCAGAAGAGTTCCAATGCAGCAGCTGGGCTACAGCTGACCAGAGCAACCTGAATTAAAGTTAGCTTGAGTTTTTCTCCTTTGAGCTATCCTTTCCCCTTTGCCTAACCCTGTCCTCCCCTGATTTCACCAGCATAAAAAGTCAACAGCAGATAATCTGACTTTTTTCTGTCAGCCTGACAGGGTTAATAGCAGTCATACCAGTGTGTCTTTTTCTTGGCATCTAAAAGCTAGGACAGAAGAAAGAATTTTTTCACTATACATTGTCTTTTTCTGTTCTCTGATAGATTAGTAAGGAGTTTTTTGCTGATGAGTCTTACCCTTTTCTACTTTAAATGCCAGGGCTACTGAGCTGTGACAATCTAAATGAATGATATTTCTGAAAACTGATGAGTGCAATTTTAAATCTCTTATTGAAACACATAACCAAATCCTCCTTAAAGTTGCCTGCAGGACAGAGATGTTCCTCTTTGTGGATGCACTGTCGGTTTCCTCATTGTGAGGAATCTGATTAACTCAGTGAAACTCATAATGCCAATGGCTGCCAATCTCTGTTGTTTGTCATGGACTATCTCTAAGTGGATATTACCAGTAGCTCTTAAATACTTGCATTATCGTGTGATACTCAGATGAAAAAGAGTAGATCTACCTTTCAAATATTTCTGTGGTATGCAGATTTAGATGGTTATTTTGTGTAGTTCTACAATTGTTAGTGCCAAAGCATCAACTGACCCTGCCTGGAATTTACTCTTCTTCCTTCACCTGTCTACCTGGATTGACTACAGAGTGTACTAAAAGCACTTTAACCCATTCAACCAGGCAATGGCAGAAAAGAAATCCTTCTGTTCATGTTGACTAACAGAAAATTCCATAGGACTGGAGGAGTTTGCTAAAGAGGAGCTCCCTCTATAACATGGACAAATCCCTCAGGAAGAAACTCAGATCACTTAGTTCACCAAAGCAGGTTCTTACACACTCCTTCCCTTGCCCCAGTTGAGGGCAATGCCAAATGCTTCATTCCACCTCCACAGTCTCACCAAGCATCATCTCCCCAGGGATGTGAGTGAGCAGTATTTGTAACACCTGGAACAGCAGCTTTATGAGGAAGGATACCTTACCGTGGTGGTTCTGGGGCCTAGGGGCTGGATTTCTGTTAATAGCTCTAGATGCTTCTGATATGTATTGTCACATTGCGCAGCCCACGCCCATGAGGACAGGCGACAATTGTGACAGGTCGGTGAGGAAGAAAAGAACGGGTGACGGGTCTTAGGAGGAAAATTCGAGGGTTCTTTATTCTTAACACCAGAGCGCTCCCGAATGCAGCCACACGCCAAGACCCCAAACAAAGGATGATTCCAATTGACACTAGCTTTAAGCTTTCTAGAAACATTCTAACCAATTATAAAGGACCACACAACCCATATTAACAAAGTAACTCCCATGATTCAACACTAATGAACTTTACTCTCCCTAACTTGAAACAATATCCCTGAACTCAGGGTGTTGTTTTCCATGGCCTAGGGTTGATTTTGGCTGTGGCTGGCTCACTGGCCAGACCAGGCCACCAGGCCTCCACATCTACCCTTTTCTGTTTAACAACAAACACCTCCTGTAGAGACCTACCCACACTCCCCAACAAACATGGAAACAAAAGCAACACAACAACAGTGATAACAAAAACTAACAACCCCATTTTAACTAATGACAATAACCACCCCTTCAATCCCCAACTTTTGAAGAGTCCAGAAAACCAGTCCTTATCATCTTCTGCTTTCATCTTCTTAACTTCCTTCTTCAGCAGCTGGATGCTCTAATGAACTGACTCGCTGTGGTTGGATAAATTCATGCACCACATGCCCTCAAAGTCCTCACAGCCATAACCCTGTGCCAGTAGCAGAAAATCTATTGCTGCCCTATTTTGCAAGGTGCTGTGTCTGATGCTATCTGCATCTGTGAGCAGGCCACTTAAGGCAAGGGAGGTAGCGCTGGTTTTCCTAGTCAGCAAACACCCAAGATGGTCTAAGTGCTTTAGCTGCACTTAGTGCACTTAGCACCCTAGTGCTTTAGCTGCAGCCACCCAGGGTGCTAACAGGGAGGCTGCTATTCTCTTGCTTTTACTCCAGTAATTAACATTGTTGTTGCAATCTATTTCAAATTGGTGCAAAAATTGTTTTGTTCTGGCTTTTCTGTCATGGATCATAGTAATATTGGGTGTCAGCAGAGTAAGTCTCCCCAGGCTACACCTTTGATGTGGGATGGTACGCTAGGCCATGCTCTGTCCATGCAAATAAAAAACACGCCCTGAGGTAATTGTAAAAGGTGACTACTGGACCAAGAAACAATGGGTGAGGTGTAATTATACCACTGGCTCCGATTTTCTTATGCAGGGTGTTATGGGTAGACATCCCATCTAATATTTTTTTCATCCTTTACATTTATAGGTCTACCACTCTCCTTTCCCCTTAGCTGAGCCTTTTCCATATAATAAAATTTGATGCAAAAATCCATTTTTACAGAGCCAAGGAGTTCTAACTCCTGGGGTTCATGTGGTGAATGAGGGAGCTTCTAGGTCCAGTATTCCCAGGCATCTACAGCCTTGTGCTTCCATTTGCCATTGGGACAGTCACCTTGCATATTATGGATGGTATCCTTGGTTATCAACCACACATCCATAGGCAACCCCACTAAACAGGTGGAAAAGGGATTGTCAGGGCTGGCAACAGACAGGCACAGGGTCTCTTCTTATATAGCTTTTCCCAAGGTGATCCAAACATTTTGTTTTGTCTGTGGGACTATCCAGACACCAGCAAGGAGCATCAGTAGGCTGAGCATGAGGAGCAGAAGGTGTTCACAAGTCATATCAGGGATTGGTCTGGTCTGGGTATAAGCTATGCAACTTCTATCTCTTCTCCACAGGGCTCTCCCTGCTGGACCTGTAGAGATTGTTATGTCGGGATTGTAGGTAGGGCTTGATGTCCTTCACCAGAACCCACTGTGGCCCTGCACCTGCCAAGACACAAGTATAGCCTTTTCCCCAGGTGATTAATGGGAATGGTCCTAAAATTTGGTTGGTTTCTGGGTCTCTAATTAGGACTGGGGATCTTTCTTTCAATTGGGCCTAGGTGGTGTTAGAAAAGTGTCTGACTATAGGGAGTTTAGGCTCCATAAACAAGTTGTTCAAAAAGTTAAATGCATACACTGCTTTACTGAGCCTTTCTACTGTGGAGAGGGTCTCTACTCTTACTTTCTGTTTTTCTAAAATTCTTTTGAGAGATCCATGGGCTCTCTCCACAATTGGTTGGCCTGTAGGGGAATAAGGCATGCCTGTGGAATGCTTGATTCCCCATTGTTTAAAAAATTAGTACATTCTATGGAATGTGTAGGCTGGACCATTATCTGTTTTTACTTCTTGGAGGATGCCCAGAGTGGAGAAAGCCTGGAAAAGATGTTCAGTTATGTCTCTGGTTGCCTCACCTATATGGGCTGAAACAAAGCTTGCTCCTGATAAAGTATCTATAGAGATGTGTAAATATTTGGAGTGCCCAAAAGATATGGTGATGTGTTACATTAGTCTGACAAAGTTGGAGGCTCTGGAGTCCTCAGGGGTTAATCTCTGCTCTGGTAGATGGTATGGAATATTTTTGGCAGCTGAGACATGGTGTTACAATAGCTCTTGCTTGTTATCTCGTGATGTTGAACATACACACCAAAGGTGGAGCATTTTGATGAAAAAAGAAATGGCTGAGCCTGGCTTGCTCAAAGATGTTAGGCAGTGTAGCCTGGACAGCCATGACAAGGGTGTCTGCTTGCCTATTGGCTTCTGCTATAAATCCTGTCAAGGACATGTGGGAAAGTATATGCATTACAGAATAGGGATGTTGTCTATAAAAGAGAATAGAAATCAAATTTGTAAGCAAATTATACAATTGGTCATTAGCGCCACTCTTAAGGAATGAATTTTCAGCTCTTTCTACAATACCTGCAACTGATTATGTAAGCAGAATCAGTTATTAAATTAAAAGGAAAAGTAAACTTAGAAAAAGCTCTAACAACAGCTGCTAACTCAACTATTTGAGGAGAACCCTCCACTGTTTCAATGTCTGAATTCCACTCATGCATCATCCCATTCATGGGTCTTGCCAAACTATTACTGATTTATGGAACCATCCTGAACCATCTCTGAAAATGGCTAACCCATCAAAGGGTGTGTTACTTTTCAGTGGTATGGGAATTAAGTTAAAAGAAGAATGTAATAATCTTTGTTTAGGGTAGTGAGCTGAAATTTGGCCAGAATAATTCTCAAGGGCAATCTGCATGGGCTGCAGTTGTTGGAGCAGCCAGTCTAGGTATAGGGTTGTTAAGGGTAAATAAATAATGGAAAAATACTTTCCCAAAAGGGTAATTAGATGAGACTTAGCCTATGTGATAAGTTGGGCTGTCATATCTGGTTGTGTGATGATGGTTTTCCCTGGTTGGTGTGGCAGTAAAACCCATTCCAAAATGAACAAAAGGTCAGGTTGTTCTGTGCTCATTGGAAAATTAAAGTGTGGGGTTGAGTTTCCTTTCGTAGAACAGTCAGCAGTTTCCTTTGTAGAACGGAAGTGTCAGTGTTGGGTTGATGTGATGTAACTGCCAATGTTGTATAGCTTGGGATGTAGCATTCCACAGCTGCAGGATGATGTCCAGGGAGGCTACAGTTAATGGTGACTGACATGGGACTCAACGAGACAGGCTTCTGCTTGGTTAATCTCAGGAAACCATTTATTCAACACAGAAACAAACTCAGCTTAAATCCAGAGACAGAGAGCTCCAAACAGAGGCACGATGGTGGGTTTTGTGGGATAGAACTAGGGTGGAGTTTAAGGTCAGGGTCTAAAGGAACATAGCAAGGGAAAAAGCCCAGGGCCACAAAACCAATCAGAACACCCTGGACTGCCACCCCATGAGGGTCTGGGAGCAAGGCAACTCTTCCTGGGCTCCCAGGGCCCATCCCCTGAGGCAGAGGAATGGAATTTACTCTTCCTGGGCTTTAAAGCCACACCTCTCACTTTAACAATGCTTAGCTGAAACTAAGTCTTTGCCTCCCTGGGCAAAGGCACCTCACATTGGGACACTTTTTTGAGAGTTTCTTTTGCCTCCTTGGTCAGTCATCTAGGTGAATTTAGTTCTGGATCTCCTTTCAGTAGGGTGATTAATGGATCCATATCTTTATTCATGAATCCTAGCAGTGGCCAGACCCAACTGGTAGTCCCAAGTAATTTTTGGAGATCATGCAATGTCCGTGGACTATCATTCAGTTGTAGCAATTGTAGTTGTATAGTCCTGGTGTGGATCTGGAGTACTTCCATTGTTCCACTTGTTGGATTTTTTCTTCAGTGATATGAGGCCAGCCTGTTGAATCACCATGGTAATACTCTTTAACACCTGATCTAAGGTGGTACTGTTTTCTGCAGCAATAAGGATGTCATC